GAGGAGCGAGGCTGCCGAGAGAGAGAGAGAGACGCGGTGAGGGCGGCGGGGACAGCACGGGGACAGCCCCGGGGAGAGGGGGCACCGCGGCGCTTACCGAGCACGGGCAGGAGCAGCGGCAGAGCCATGGCAGGAGCGGGAGCCTCCGCACCGCACCTCGCTGGAGGAGGAGGAAAGGTCCCTTCCCCCGCGCTCCCCGCGGCCCCGGGACAAAGGCAGGAAACGAGCGAACCCCCCCGCTCTCCCGCTGGTTTCCTCTCCCCTAGGAAAGCCTCGGGACGGGACGGGACGGGGGGGCTCGGGTCAGCCCCGGTGCTTGGGACGCTGCTACGGGCACGGCTGGGAAAAGTCCCCCCCAGGCCTGCCAGGGGGTTTTTTTTTCCCCCGGGGCTCCCTGCAGCTCCCCGGGAGCCCCCACAGATGGGACAAGAGGCTTTGCCAGTGCGGGGGACACGCGGCTCCCCGTTTCGGGGGGATGCTGCTGCCTGGTTCCTGCACTCCTCTGTTAGCAGCAGGATGGGGCTCCTCCATTCAGGGGGACACAATTCGGCCCTTCCCACGACATCTGCTTCCCAGGGGATGCGGCTCCCCGGTTCGTGGTGGGGAGGCATCGCTCATCCGTTCGGGGTGACGCTGCTTCCCGCTTTCCAGGCATTTCCCACCCTCTGGCAGAGCCCCTGGTGTTGGGGGCGGAAAGGCCTGGATGGCACTTCGGGGCACCTGCCATCCCCAAAATGGTGACGGGCAAGCAGGTGTCCCCCAGGGTCCCTGCGCCGGTGGGACCCAAGTGGGGCACGTTTTCCTCTCGGGAACAACACAGATATCATCGTGATGAACACACGGGTGCCGGGAAACCGGGACCTGACACCTGACACGGCCCCGGCAGTGCGAGAAAGGGGAGGCATCGACCGGGCGAGCGCGGCCGTGCTGGGAAAGGGCCGCTCGGCGCCGTGCCAAGTTCCTGCAGAATAGTGACATTGACCGGAGGAAAAAAAAAAAAAAACACCTTTTTTCCATCTGCCGGGAGCAAATCCCGGCTCCGGCGTGAGATCGATGCAAACACGGACCAGGGCTCCAGCCTCCAGGTCAGGGACATGGGCCCATGCGGCGGCTCCTGCTCGATGTTTGCTCATCTCGGGCCCACGGGCAGGATTTAAAGCCAGGGCGGCCCCTTGTGCCCCCCTTGCCCTGCCCATTGCCCCCCATGTGCTCCCCATTGCGGGACATCATCCGCATCCCCCCTAATCACCCCCATCACTCCCTATCCCAATCCAGGGGTCCCACCCAGTGCCCCCCTGCAACCCAATGCAATCCCCCCCCCAGGGATCCTGCCAGCCCTGAGCCAGGGGAATTGCAGCCCAAGAGGAATTTGGGATATCGGGGTGCCCAGACAAGAGGAGGGACAGGAGTAGTCTGGGACAAACAGATTCAAGGTGTTGGGATCGTGCCCGGGTTGGGCACAGCCACTCATCCGGTGGCGGATGCAGCCATCCAGTGTCGGACGCAGCCGTCCGGTCCCAGCGCACGGAGGTGGAGTGCAGGAAGGATGGGGACAGCCCCTCTCACACACACACACCTCACAGCCCTCCCGAGGGACTATTGCTATGGCCCCAAACCGGAGGGATGCTGATGTCGCTGGGAAATGATGCTGTCCCCTCGGCTTGGGGACGGATAAGACCCGGGCAGCTCTGCATGTCACCGTGACCTGCCCCTCTCCCCGGAGCTGCTCCCAGTGCATCCCTGAGCATGGATCTGCTCCCAGAAAATCCCCGAGCACGGAGATGGTCCCAGAACATTCCTGAGCTTGGAGCTGATGGCAGCGCATCCCTGAACACGAAACCAGTCCCAGAGCATCCCTGAGCACCCAGTGCTGTTTGGGGCCACGGGTGCCTTCTCCAGAGGTTTCCCCAAAGGACTTGGTGGATAGACCTTGCTTGGGAGGAACCTTTATTCGCCCTGCTCTGGCACCTGGCTCGGGTGGCCTCAGCGGTAGAAGAGCAGCACGGCAGCCTCGAGGATCTCCTTGGAGGTGCTCCAGGCCGTGTGGGTGCCGTAGCCGTTCCAGACGTACCCGGGGAAGTCTCCGCACTGCTGCGGACTCGACTCGGGGAAGTACCCGCCTCCACCAATGCAGTGCTGGGGGGGACACAGTGGCATCACCCACAGCTGCAGGGTACACCCCGAAACCACCCCAGGGTGCTGGGTGTCACATATGGTTTGTGACAATTGCAGGGTGCCAATATCCCTTGCACCCCCTTGTACCCCAAAACTGCACCTGGGTTTTGGTGGTGGGGGTGGCAGGGACCACAGCAGCATCACCCATGGCTGCAGCGTGCTGGTACCCAGTGCACCCCACAACCACCCCAGGGTGATGCCACCACATCCCCCATGGTTGGTACCGGTTGCAGGGTGCCAATACCCCTTGCACCCCAAAACTGCACTCGTGTTTGTGTGGGGGACACACAACAGCATCACCCACAACAGCAGGGTCCCCGGTGTCCCCAAAGCCACCCCGTGTTGCCACCCTGCGAGGACTCACGTGCTCGGTGTTGCAACCGGTGACCTTCATGCCGGGGCACAGAGCCATCGCCGCCCTCTCGTTGTTGAAGACACGGAACTGGAGGAAGCCGGGGACAAATTCCTCTGTGGCAGAGGGGTCTGGTGAGGTGGGTGAGGCCGTGGGCACCCGATGCCACTGTCACCATCACCGCCAGGTGCTCACTTTGCCCATTGGGCGAATAATATCTGGAGGCGACCTCAGGCGAGCCGAAGTCGTAGATCACGGGCACGGCGGGACCGTTGTCGTTCAGGCACTGCCCAGCTCCGTATTTCACCGGGTATTTCTGGAAAGGGGGAAGAAAAACGATGCTGGGGATGCATGGGTACCGCAGCGTGGGGGTGTCGCAGGGCCGGTGGTACCTGGAACAGGCGGAGCAGGTTGCCACCCTCCTCGGCGAGGAAGCCGTTGTGTGTGCGGTAGCGCAGCAGGGCCTGCGACTGCCACTCGGCCATGGGCGTCCGGTTGGGCACGTGCCACACGGCCACGTCCCTGGCACCGAGGTCGTAGTAACCCGGGTTCTGCCAGAGAGGGCAGCACGGTTGTCACTGGGACGCGATGACACTGGTGACACCGTGCCCGGCCACCCGGGCTCTGCGCCCACCTTGTAGTCGTCAGCGGTGGCCCCCACAGCAGAGCCAAATGTGCTGTGGTCGGCCCAGGCGCCGTCGCCTTCGGGCCACAGCGGGCTGCTGCCCTGCTGGCTGGACCAGCGGTCGCCCACGGTGCACTTGCCGTGCGCGTTGTTCTCGTGCACGCTGGCCACCAGCGTCCAGCCGACCCCGGCCGTGCTCATGTGGCAGCAGGACTGGAG